AATGTGGCCATTTGAATAAAAAATGTGAGGAATGGGTATATTTTTAATTATTTGGTATTCATTTATTCTTAAATAAATAGCTACACTATCTGAAGTAATCATAATATTTGATTATTTTAATTAGCAACAGAATTAATATTTGTTACCAACAACTATTTACCGCTTTAAGTGTCTGAATTCCAGACATTATTATTGAATATACTTTGTTTCAATTTCTATCAAAATTGTGCAGTCAAATGAGAGTGAATTAATTAATCATTTTAGCAATTTAAGTAACTATAAAATATTATCAATGACCACATAATTAATTGATTGCTGTGATAGTTGTCGCACCAGTTTGCCAGTAGTTTAAGTGCACAATTTAGGACACTTTCTGTTCTCTCCTACACGTTATTCTTAGGGGCGGAATACCATAAAACAAGACCATCTGCATAAAATAAGCACTTGATGCCCGTGACTGTCTGTACCAATTCGGCTATGTCGTTGATGAAGAAGTTGAACAGAGTGCAGCTTGTAACAGCTTCCCGTTTGTAAAAGATTGGATATGAATAGGGTATTTCCACATCTGAATTTACATGATCTTTGTCCAATGAATGCTTTTATCCAGTTTAGCATGTTATGCTTAATACCAATCTTTGTCAATTTTAGAATTAGGTTTTCTTTCCATACTAAGTCAAATGCTGATTTGAAATCGAAGAATACATTCGTGAGAGTATTTCCTGCAACAAGGGTATCTTTCATATGTTGGAAGAAGGTGACTACGTGTTGATTACTTGTTCTATGAGGCCTAAAACTTGCTAGTTCATTTCTAAGAATATTGTTGGTCTCAAGGAAACAGGTCAGCCTCCTTCAATCATTCTTTTCATTAGTTTAGTTAGAACGCTTGTGAGAGAGATAGGCCTATAATTGTCAAGGTTGCTAGGGTCTTTGCCCTTTTTAGAACTGGTATTACTTTTCATTGGTTACGTACGAGACTGGTCTCCCAGACTTTGTTGAAAAGAATCAGCATAGTTTCCTTGGCTTTTGATTTCATTCTAATTAAAAATTCCGGTTGATTACCGTCTTAGCAAGGAGACTTTTGTACTTTAGCTGTTTTATCGCTGCATTAAGTTTGCAAGGTCTCAATGTTTCGGTAAGCACATTATGAGGTGTTGCTCTGTCTTCCTTAATTTCACCCAACTCTCTTACTTGTATCTTTAAATCTTCTCTGACAAAAGGGTTTTTCTTTTGCTTGTGGAAATAGAACTTCGTAAAGCTGTTAGTTATTTTCGGAGTCGGAGGTAAGCCGTTTATTGTTTAAGCATATAAGCTCTTTCTTGAGTTTCTTTCCTGTTGTATTGGATGCGGTTCTTTCTTGGGTCTTTCTCTGTTGTTTTGCAGGTCTCCAAGACATCGTGGGTCTTTCTCTGTTGTTTTGGAGGTTACCCAGGAATTGGGTTGGCCATCACTTTGGTAGTTGATATTTGAGATGAACTTTTGCTATCACTTTGATAGTTGATATTTGAGATGAACTTGTCATAGGAAGTCCGCTTTGCTTATAAGATGGCCTCCCTTAGGACATCTGACTGCCGTCACCAGGCTTGGTTCTTCCAGTCTGATCAGCAGTTTTGCGAAGGGCGTCTTGTCGTCACCAGGCTTGTACCTCTTCCGTTCTTCCAGTCTGATCAGCAGTGTTGCGAAGGGCGTCCCTATTTCTTTTCCGTTGCTCAAGGTGTTCAGACCGAAACACTCGATAATTTTTAGTCTTGCCAAGGGAATAGTTTTTTTACACACCTGATCATAATATTCGTGATATCAGTGCAAAATTTGTCATGATATTGGTTGAAGTTGAGAAACCTTGTTTAAAGTTCATAGCCTAAAATGTTTGTGGAATAGGTCAGGAGTTGTTTTGATTCCATTGGTGGACAGATATGTAGCAGGATCCTCATTTCTGTATATACTTTCTAGAAGGTTGTTGGTAAGCATGTCCTCAATTTCCTTTCCAGCTTTGTATGTATTTTTATAGCCCCATCTAGTGGAATAGGCGATGAAGTCTCCTAATACTACAGTTTTGTGTGAAATGCTCAGAAGATCAAAATTGGTACTATTCTGGGGTGGATTATAGGCTGCCTATATCTTGAAGTGGTTTTGACATTTCCAAACGTCTAATCGGATTATTTCGCATATGTCTTACGTCATGCCCATACTCTTGATTAGATCGTAATATGATGTGAGGCTTTCATTTACTCTAGTCACAATTCCCTTTGTAACTTGCCGGTATTTAGGTAAAAGGTATTAGGTTAACATAGCAAGCGAAAATATTTGAGTCTGTCACCGAAAAGGTTTGCTTCCATGATTGTGAATATGTCTATATCATGGTTATGTAAGATTTTCTGCATTTGGAACTATCGTTCTGTGATTTCCCTTAGCATTCCACTAAAGAATCTCTAGAAATTGTGATTTGCCCTGACGAGGGCAATTTCTCTTATTGCTTGGGTTCAAAATAATCGTAATAAATTGAAGTCAAATTCACAGTAATATACTTTTTTGGCTTATGAATATAAGCTGTCCGGTGTATACCACGAGGATGTAGGTCTTTCGTGCACCCCCGTCAAAAATATAACGCGTAGGTGCAAAATATGCAAAATGTTGTCGTAATTGGCAGCCAAATAAACCAATGACTGCACTCCAGAAAATATGTAACGGAGAATACTTTCAATAGAAAAACGCATTTCGTCATTAAATCTGAATACTTGAACCTCGATTGGTCATAAAATGTTGTCCATATTTCATTTAGGATGATTCGCACACTGTATAACGGAAGCCGACGCACCTGCGTAAAGTCTTAATTATTTTCTATTGAAAACAGTGATGACAAAATATTTATATAAAACTGTTTGAAATATAAAGGAATTCTACTTAAGTAACTAAGTAGCAATTTGCCAACACGTTTCACTTTCATGTACGGGGTTACCTTATATATTATTAGAATTAATCTTGTTTAAACGGAACTTTCTTAGTTTTAATTACGATCGATTTTCCTACACATCGAGAATGCGGCTTCCCTTTAAACTAAACCTTTACATTATTTTGTCAACCCCAATAACTTATTCTTGCTTTTGAATAAAAGGAAGCATTGCAATGCTTAAAAAAATTCGCTAGTTAATAAATGCAAACAGATAAGTCAATTAACAGGCACTCAGAATCATCAAATCTACACCACTTTGCTAATTTATATGCGGAAGTTAATCTAAAATGCAAATATTAGCCTAATGAATGGGAGTATTTTAGGTCGTAATAACAAAGCTCATTAAAATTGGCAAACATATAAAATACGTTTAGTGGTCAAAATCGAAGGGTTTCTTAAATATCCGAAAAAAAGATATTTTTAATTGATCTCATTTGGAATTTTAATGTTTCTTAAGAAATATAAATTTTGATAAGTTTGAATTGAAAGGGATTATGTGAATTTCAAAAAAATATTAAATTACATTTGGTAGGGAAGATATGTTTTAATTCCGATTGAGAATGTTGCTGATTTGTCATTCCAAAATACTTTAGTGTGTGGACACACTCTAGACTAACTAGAATTATATAGATATTAGCTTCAACCAATTTTCTATCTGTCATTAACTTTTAGCCATTCCATCCTATAAATTACTTGTGCCATTTTTTTCTAATTCAAATTTATCAATACGCCACTTGGACCATTCAATTTAACCTGCTTATGAAAGGGAAATGTTTTATTGCTTAAAATATTTGTTAACATATTTGTGTGTTGAAATATTAACATATAGCTAATGTGTTTTTTGGTGAAAATATATAAGTCTCAAACGGTTCCTATTCAATAAATATCCTTCGTGATCTGCATTTGGCGATTATAATGAATTATATAGAGAACCGATAATTATATGCTGCTTTCAGTTGATTTCAAATCTTCACATGACCCATGTATCATCATCATGTTCATATTTGAAGAAACGCCATCGCTAACACGCACTCTCGATATTTGTCCAGAAAAAAATTTGTACTCTGTGGCCTATGCTCACATGATCATTTGACAATTTTCAAGCATGTCAAATAGAAATTATTTTAATGAAAATCAGTGTGAGCAGTGTTCAGCAGCCAAAAGAAGTTGATATAATTTACTTGCTATCACACAGAATGATACACTAAAGCCTCCATATTCACAATATATCTTCCAATCTCTAAGAACTTTATGTTATTTTAACCATATATTTTAAACCATAATATATTTTAGTAAATAGCAATAAAGTGAAACGTGTTGGTCACAAAATGCCTTGTTCGCCATTCCAAGTTCAAGGCCCTGTCGATGTGTACGACTAAGCGTTCATAGATTTTATAGAAATCTTATTTCATCAACCTATTTAATCTTGAAATTCGACTCCATGCGCACTGAAATGAGACGTGGATGGACGAATGTGCTACTTAGCCAGTAAAGTAGTTTCCATTAATTCACGGAGAGTTACACGTAAGAAAGCATTCCTTCACTGCTTGTAATAGCACATAATTACCTCCTTTATACTGGTGATGAAACATCCATTATTCTAAATCGTCATTAACATGAATGAGAAGGGACGATAATGATTTCCATTCGAAGTTCAAGTCATCACATAAAAGAGCTAAATGCGGTTGTTTGGATTCAAGCATCGTTGGGCATATCGATGCTTGTCAAATTTGGCGGCACGTAGCCTTAATAAATTTGACTGCCAATATCGACAATAAAAAAGTGGCCTTTAATATCGTCTTGAACTTATACATATTTAGATAAAGTTATTCACTCTCATTTGAGGGCAACATTTTAAAGTGAAATTGGAAAAGCGTATTTTCATTAATGATGTTTCGAATTCCGACAATCATAGCAGTAAATAGTTGTTGACAACAAAAATTATTTTGTTGCTTATTAACATGATTGCATATTATGATTACATCAGATATTGTAGTTCAATGCGCGTATAGAAGTAAGTTAATATGAACCAAACGCAAATTCTTTGTCACGCTAACAGAAATGGGACATCATGTTACATTAATAGATTATATCTTTCATTGTGAATGCGTTTTATATTAAACAATTAAATCATGAAGCTTAAAATTCTAATATAATGACTCATTGAATACGATTTGATGAATATCTGTTAAATTTCCAGAAAAATGTAGCATATGCAAACATTCAAACCGATACTTTGCGTATTTATTATTGGGACGGTATTGGCAGCCAAATGTTCACTTTATGTCATATTCGACTACTTCCATAGTACTCACCTTACATTTTTTCTGACTTTTCTACCTTCGTCCTTGAAGCACTCTTCTGTCCCCCCCCCTCTCTACTTTTTTTCACTTTGATGTTCCTCCCCCTCTGTAAAGCCTGAAATCAACTAAAGGGCCAGTGATAACCACCAAAAGGACTGCCATTTGATATAAATAAATGATCTACCGAATAGTTGCTCTATAATTAGTAAGATAAATATTAACATCTGCGCACTCAACTATCCACTAAAATGGCAAATTAAATGATTTTCCATTGCATGGGACTAATTGATCTTAATATGTATATATTCAAGCCGATATTATACGCTACTTTTATATTGTCGATATTGGCAGTCAAATTTATTAAGGCTACGTGCCGCCAAATTAACAAACAACGATATGCCTAACGATGTTTGAATCAAGACAACCGCATTTAGCTCTTTTATGCGATGACTTGAACTTCGAATGGAAATCATTATCGTCCCTTCTCATTCATGTTAATGACGATTTAGAATAATGGATGTTTCATCACCAGTATAAAGGAGGTAATTATGTGTTATTACAAGCAGTGAAGGAATGTTTTCTTACGTGTAACTCTCCGTCAATTAGTGGAAACTAGTTTAGTGGCTAAGTAGCACATTTTTCCAACCATGACTTATTTCAGTGCACATGAAGTCAATTTCCAATATTAAATATGCTAATGAAATAAGATTACAATAAAATAAATTTGCCATATGTTGTACACATCGGCAATGCCTTGAAATTGACGTGGCGAACAAAGCACTTGGTAAAACAACATAAAAGCCCTAGTGATTATAAGATATATTATGAATATGGAGGCGTTCGTGAATTATCCTGTGTGGTAGCAAGTTTATTGTATCTACTACTTTCGGCTGATTAACATTGCTAACACTGATTTTCATTTAAACAATTTTTTTTATTTTAAGTGCTTAAAAATTGTCGAATGATCTTGTGAACATAGGCCATATAGTGGAAGATAGTTTTCAAGTGGCTTGCTGAAAGAAAGTTTACTTCTTTCACTTTCCATCTGTCAGTTCAAACGCACGCATCACCCTTCTTTGTCATTTTCAGTTTGACGACTGCAGTAGATTATTGGCTGTTCATTCTCACTATGAAGCTGAAAATCAACCAAAAAGATTGTGGTTTTAATTGAGTGTAAATCGATATAAATAAATTAATATTTTATGTACGGCCAGAAGAATTAACCTGGGTGCAGCAATTGATTAATTTGGCTGACAATAATGATAAATAGTTGGGGTGTGCGATAGACTTAGTTCCACTTGGTGCACCGTGGGCAAACGTATACTCATACAGCAAAAAGTCTATTGACTGGCAGTTGACTTCTC